TTGTTTCATATTTGTGCCAGGTCGGTATACTGTTTGCTTTGTCGATCATTTCAAAATTTCAACCTGTTAGACCTCTATATTAAGTTTGAACATTTTTAGAGGCGTTTGGAAGAAAGACAAATTACTTTATGGGGAATTGTCTTTGTCTGCAGTTTTGGCCCTTGGACTCTGTATTTGGAGTTACAGGAGATGTTTATTGGATGGTTATCAAGTAGACTGAATGCTGGAAGATGGAAAAAGCCTCCAATTTGCAGTGCTGCAGCAAAGTTATAGCCATGCAGGACGACTGAAGCATATTTAGATCCATTTGATCTTATCAAGCACGAAACCTTTCCCATCTCCCCTTCTTGGTAGGTGATCCTGTACCACCACTTTCTGGTGCACCTGAACTTTTTGAGGATGTTTTTGCGAGTGTTAGCTAATTGTAGTAACTCTATATCTTGCAGCGTCTCAGAACTTAAGGACATGTTAGAAGTGAGGGAAAATCCTGATTTCCTATGAAAATGTTCATTTGATTTGTTAAATCTTTTAGACAAATAGCATCTGTACTCTTCTTTTGAATGGCAAACATTTATGTGTGCAATTTATCTGGATCGCATCGCGCATGGTTGCTAGCTTCATTAGAAGTTCCCCAGAGGCAGACATGTAAATGGAGCCAGTTGAAGATTGTTTGAGAAGACATGTTTGTTTGGACAAAGATAATTTGGTTTGCAAAATTTGTTTTCACAAATTCCAATCACTTTTTTATCTTCCCAATCACCTTTTTATCTCACATACATCACATCACAAAAAGTGCTACAGTAAATATCTCAAATAAATCATCCAAATAAACTTTTATCCAAACAAAATAATGATATCGGAACCAATTGGTTCTGCAACAGTCTTGGGTTGGGGATGGATCCAAGCTGCAATGTACCGTAGTCCAGAGTCCAGACCCATTCACTATCGGAACCAATTTTCTTTTCTTTTTTTTCCCCGTCTCAAAAACGAAAGAGGAGGAATAGGTCCTATTGAGAAAATATTTCTAAAGACGTGTCTTGCATTTTGAGTATACAAATAATGATAATAATAATCCCAGCCCTCCCTCTTACGTGAGAGGCATGCGAGGAGGGAGGAGTCGAGAATCTTGCAATGGGAATTAACGGAAGGAAAAGTGGCGGAGGGCCAACAACAATAACAACTATGGGCGTTTGACCTGGTCTTGGTATGGTTGTGAGCTACTTGTGCTCGGGTTCAACCACGTGGTTCTTGTTTCTGCTTCTGTATTTTGTACTGGGGATATGATCCCTCCCGTCCCCTCCATATATATATATATATATATACTGCTCTAATTTTTGCACCCCAGTCCTCGAATCACTGTCCCCAATTCCCTTTTCTCTGCATCCGCAGGCCGGCTTTTTTCTGTTCATTTCTTTCTTGAAGCGACGTCCCGACAACCCCATCATCAGCTTTTCTCAAAACCAACCCAGTCTGAGGTATTTTACTCCATACGCCTGCTGCCCTTCTATCTTCTTCATTTTCCACAATGATTTGGTTTACGGCACTTCCTGTTATTCGGTAATGAAATTTGCATGCGTACGTTCAATGTCTTGGGCGGAGCCTCTAATTATACAATTTGTTGTTTGTTGGGCATATGATCTTTATTGACTTGTAATTGCAGCAGCCTAAATGATTACTATATTATATTTTTGCTATTCCTCCGTTTCATAGACCGACTTGGTAAAGGCAAAAAAAAAAAACATGAAAAACAAAAGATCTGGCCTTTTTCTGCTCCGATCATTGTTGGTTGTCTTGTCTCTTCTCTCCGACTTCCCCCGCCTGCCCCCTGGGTTTAGGCCTGTAAAATTAATACTAACATGGAGAAAGCTGGCTCTGGTAATTTTAACTCTTCCCCAAACAGCGTCCCCGCCTCACGGGGTGGTTTTGTACCGGTAATTATTCCATTGCTATTGCTTTTTAACGTTTGACCATGGTGGGTGGGATTGGACTTGGATATTTACTCCTTTGAAAGTACTGTCGCAACATTTAGTAATTTAGATCTGCGCTAATGTTCTTAACAATCCAAGTAGCATTTGCCGATCCTTTGTAACATTTCTGCTTCGTGCTTGTTGCATTGACTGGTACCCTTGCCCACAAGCAGAGACTTTTGCAAGAAAATGTTGTACAGAATCTTTAAATCCCCAGTCCTACACGATTTTGGTTTCTGAGGGATTCTATTCTATTTCCCGGACGCTAAAATACTATCCACATTTCCAATCTTCTATTCTTTAAGCCATGACTCATTCAATTTCCCTCTTACTCTGATTAGGAAAAATGAGCAGTGACGGAAATGAAAATGGAGCTGAAACATCTCCACAAAGGCGAGCTCCACGTCTGAATGAGCGAATACTCTCATCTTTGTCAAGGAGATCGGTGGCTGCTCATCCTTGGCATGATCTTGAGATCGGTAAATTTGAAATATGATTCTGTAATTATTATTTCCTGATTTCACTGCATGTTATCCGATTCCTTTATGAAGTCACAATCACCTGATACTTTTACTGCTTTTCTGTTAAACCAGGGCCCGGGGCTCCTCAAATTTTCAACGTTGTATGTATCACTCTCCTTACTCCTAGAAGCATATTTCTTCAAGGATCCCTTTGCTGTTCCAAATATGTTCTACTAAATGATATCTTAAACTTACGCTTTAGTAATTGCAACACTCTTATCTGGGGACTGACATTCTAATAAATGTAAACACAATGCTACAACTTTTTGATGATCTTGATTTATACCACTACTTCCTCCAGATCATTAAGACCCCGTCACCTCCTGAAAATCACAAATCCACCTAGGAGGATAATGTCCAAAAGATTTCCTTTGAATGTGTTTCTAGAAAGAAGTCATTCATCTGACTCCATGAATGAATTTGCTCATCTTTACATGTTGCTACTGCTATATTTCGTTTCTAATTGAATCAAAATGCAGTTTGCCACATAGTTTCTGCAGCCACAGTTTTAGTTGCTGTATGGCCCCTAACACCCATCTTATTTGTCTAGCACATATAGAATTTGGGAAAAAAAAAATCTTATTGTAGAAGCTTTTTTGCTTGAACCTTGAAATGTAGTGTACTTGTCTACTGACTCTGTGGCTTCATCATCTTCTTTTATTTTACTGCTACAGGTTATTGAGATAACAAAGGGAAGCAAAGTCAAGTACGAACTTGACAAGAAAACTGGTCTGATCAAGGTATGATGAAGTTCCTTTAGCATGTGCAGAGTTTGAGATTATTTTCAATATGAAGCTACTTTCTTTCACATACATACTATAAGGTTCTGCAGATCAGGATGCAACTTAATCAAGAAGCACAAAAGTATTAGTTCCAAAATTACATTTGGCCTTTGGATTTGTTTGGTGATTTGTTTAGATGCACTTTGCTCACTCTGTCTTACAATGGCACCTTAGGTGGATCGTATCTTGTATTCATCAGTGGTCTATCCTCACAACTATGGCTTCATTCCGAGAACGCTGTGTGAAGATAATGATCCAATGGATGTGTTAGTTCTAATGCAGGCAAGGAGAGTTGCAATATGAACTACTAATTAGATTTTCTTTACATGAATTTATGTTTTGTAAAACAATGCTCTTAATGCATCCTTACTAGTTTTTTGAAAGATGGTTGATGAAACACAAATTGACGTCTGTAACAGGAACCTGTTCTCCCTGGTTGCTTTCTTCGAGCAAGGGCCGTGGGCCTGATGCCCATGATTGATCAGGTACAATACAAACTCCTTCCCTCCTAGTGAACATAATTTCAGTGCTGTCATCAGTGGATTTTCATAAGATGACTTCTTCTTAAACCAGGGAGAGAAGGATGATAAGATTATTGCAGTATGTGCTGATGATCCAGAGTATCGGCACTACACAGATATCAATCAGCTTCCCCCCCATCGTCTTGCTGAAATCCGTCGATTTTTTGAGGACTGTATGCTCGCTACCAACATATTATTTTGCATAAAATTGTTTTAGGATCTGTCAGCTATACTGCATGGCTTTTTATGGTAAACATGATGTTTTTGTTGGTATGTTGTTTAGACAAGAAGAATGAGAACAAGGAGGTTGCAGTGAATGAGTTTCTGCCTGCTGCTACAGCTGTTGATGCCATGCAATACTCCATGTAAGTGCCCATTTGACGCCTGGATTTAGCAGTAGGATGGAAATGCATATTTTGAACATGATAAATGGGCCTTAATGACGATGCATTTCTCAAGAGGGACTTTATGAGCTGCTTTTGGTGCAGGGACCTCTATGCTGAGTACATACTGCAAACATTGAGGAAGTAGATGAAATAGCATGGCGTTCTTCACTACTTCTCCGTACTGCTAATGCCTGAAGCAAAAGGCATGGTATCCTCAATTTGAGAGGATATAGGATATTTGATTTTCAACTATGTAGACATTTGATTTGTTTCAATGTTAGACGAACTGAACATAATATTCGGGTTGGTTTATTTTGTTTGAACTCTGAATGTTATTTTGAAGTTTAAAGTTTGCGATTGTTAAACGAGGAGCTGAGTTTTACACCGTTTACAGGCCGACTTTGGTACTCGAATTGAGTTTCATATTCAAGTGAGAGAGTAGTGCTTTATTTTGAAATTGATACGAGGCAAGGAGCTTTGGACGAAATGTCCAACATAGCGGTATGAAATAGTTCTCTACTATGCTTAAGTAGCCCTTTTGCAGTGTTCTTGATGGAGGACACTAAAACGTCCCGAATGGGATTGCCTCTCCGTGAAAACTATGTACTAACTGTTACTTCCACATGATGTTTATATAAAACGTCGAACAGCAGGATGATAAAAACATAATTTTGGCACTGAGACCCCAATCTGTCGACAGCGAGCGTTGCCATATAACGATCGACATGTCCACTTAGCTATTAAGTGCAATTTACCAACAAGAAGCAAAAAAGTTTGACGTATTCTGGAATGAACCAGGTGGGATTACAGACCCCATCAGAATATCAAATTTCTATGTTATCAATGATAATCAGAAATAGAAAACGGCAACCTCCTAACAATTAAGTGCAATTTAACGATCGACATGTGCAATTTATCAATTTAACGAGCGTTGCCATATAACGATCGACACGTCCACTTAGCTATTAAGTGCAATTTACCAACAAGAAGCAAAAAAGTTTGACGTATTCTGGAATGAACCAGGTGGGATTACAGACCCCATCAGAATATCAAATTTCTATGTTATCAATGATAATCAGAAATAGAAAACGACAACCTCCTAACTGCCCACCAACAACTTCCAGAAGAAAGTTTTAAAAATTGTCAGATCACAAACTTCAGCTTGATGTTCGAAAAAGAGCTCTGCTGATGATACCGGTGGCTTCAATGTAGCGATCCACACACCTTGAGACACAACTACTCTCACTACCACTCAGGCTGCTCCCAGGTTTGGTGATACACTTCTCAAAGCACTTTCCCCTCAAAGTCTAGATCATGGTTGCAAAAACAAAGCAAAGCTTTCACAATGATGAATCGACAAAACCATTTACATGATCAATAGGTTAATGTTTAGCAGAAATGGAATGCTCAACCTCAATTTCATACATTGAAAAACCAGCTTAATAAAAGGAAAATTGAAAGCCGCCAAAAAAAAAGGGCAGCCGAGTTTGCATGTAGTCAATTATTCATCCAGGCAACAAAATATATTCTGTAGTCAAGTGAATATTTACCGGAACAAATATAGACTAGGTGATGATGTAACATGCACGGATTAAAAGTTTCCTAAGATTATCACATTAAAGAAAGTCAAACCGATCACACATGCCCAAGGCATCCAATTTCTTGTAGTTAAAAAAGTACAAGGACTCTAGAATAGTATTCTTCTTCAAAATCTCTAGAAGACACAATGTCAAGAAAAAGGAGAAAAGAATCTGAAATTGGGTTACAAATAACATAGACAGGCTACATCGTCAACCAGCAAACTACGTACTTCATTCTACGCAAGAATCTTTTAGGATAATATCAATGCAATGGAAACGTAGGAAACAAATAGTGAATTTCTTAGCAATAAGATTAAACTTGATGGGAAAGATATTCTGGACTGTCAAATCCTTTTGTTCCCATCTAGTATTTACCATATTTCATGGTTGCCATCTAGCTAAAAAGAACATAAATGAAACGCATGAACCTAGTATTGATAGCCCGCTTGTGCTGAGTGTTCAAGTGTTGAAATTGATAAAAATAAATAAATAAATAAATCAAATGAGAGCCCAAAAACATATATTTCCCCTGTGCAACAGCAGAAAATTTGTCACTAATAATTACCCTAGAGCTCTGTAGGGTTTCAACAGCAGAATAGATTTGGCAATACAGTCCTAATTAGAGTTGCAATCGTTGTCAGTAAGCGACCGACAGTAGAACAGTAAAACCAATAAGCATATTTTAAGACCAAAAAGTAAATACTAAACTAATTCTATACATGTACTGATGATGTACCTCCATAGGTGGTGGGGGTGCTTTTAAGTGTTTTGGGGGGGAAGGAGTTGGGGATAATCCACTTGATCGTTATGATTTTCAAAATAAAATAGATACATGAGGAAATGAAGGAGGAGAAATCAATGCCAAGTTCAACTCCCATGCGGTTGGTTGAAATGAATCTACAGTATTTGGGGCAATACTTTTCATCCGCACACAGGCATCACAGAAACCATAAATAGAGGGGTGGGGGTATCCAAAAATAAGGACAGAGCAAAATCAACACCCAACGAGAAGTACATTGAACAATAGAGCACATGATAGTAGTAGCACTGGCAAAGAAATCAGATAGCACAATGTTTTAAGTTTAAAATAAAATTTGAATAACAGAAACCCTAACCGAGAAGACAATCACTAATAATATTAGAAGCGGATAGATAGTGCAGAAAATTCCCCTTAGTGGTGGCAAAAAATAAAATCAGAAGACGGAAGAGCATATACATAATATACCTCGAGGAACTCTTCGGCATAGGCCTGGGCAAGCTGGAGTTTGACCTGGTCCATGATGTCCTCCGTCGAAACCTGCGGCGACGCCCCACTTGACGACGACGACGACGACGACGAAGAGTATGGATCCATTATACGGAGAAGAGAAGATCCGAGGGTTTTTTCTCTTTTTTTTTTTTTTCTTTGGCTTTTGTTGATATTCGATTCTTTCTTCGCCTCCAAACTCCCTTAAACCCTTCCCGACACCAAAATTTACGGACTACTCTGCAAGTCAAACAACAAATTAATACCCTCTTTGGTCCTTCAAACAAACATACCCTCTTTGGGCAATTGGAGGTGCTGGTCCGGGCTTTACTCCAGAGTATAGTTCGCAAAGTGAGATTGGGCTAGGCTTGGACTATAACTTAAGCAACTACTATTTTGTCCAAGCTCTCTTTTTTGTTGGCCAATTTTTGATTTCCCTCCTATTTGATATATTGCAGAGTGTTGCTTGGATCCAATTTTGAGGATCCTTTAGCTGCTCAATGTTGCCAAAGCAACTACTTTATTTATTTTTCATTCGTTTTCTTTTCTCCTACACTGGATCTGGATGAAAAGCAGCCGAAAAATTAGCTTATGGGCCTATACAGTGGGCTTGTGCAACAGAGGTCTATGTTCGACTGTAACCGGTAAGCTGTGTCGTCGAATTGAATGTGAATTGAGGGAGAAAATTTCATTTCTCAAATATATATATATATATTTTAAAATATAAAATCTCCTGCAAACATGACAGCCAGATTCGAGCCTAATCTGCCAGGAAGCCCCCAGCCGACACTTCCAACAACGGTTGTTGGTTATCATTTAGCAACAAAACTTATGTCTTATTAAATCTATTAACATGAAGACACATCACAAATGTTTTCATGGATCGATTGTTTTTACTTGGATATCCCGGATGTTTGGCTAGAGGAAAAATGGAGGTTGAAGGTGCTGCAGAACTTGTTGACACCAGGCTAGTGTTTAATATTTGGATAATAGATTATTTGAAATAATTTTTTTAAAAACAATACTACGGTAACACTTTTATGATATGATGAAAAAGTGATTTGATAAAATGTAGGCAAATAAATTTGTACAATGCGCTATCCAAAACAAACTTGACAGCTGAATTCAACTCAAGTGCGCAAGTCCCGATTGAAGCTTTAATCAAGTCGGTGGACCACAATAACCTACAGATTTATTAGGGTTTTTTGTGTCCCTGGAATTGGATCCACATATTCTGACTCCACCCCCTATTGTCTTTTCTACACAAATAATACTTATGCAGCAAAAGTAGGGCTGGCATTGGCAAGCATATGCTTTGGGTATTACTCCTATATCGTTGCATGCACGTTGTAGTTAGTTAAACAGCTCGTCCAATTCCGACGGGACTGGAAGAAAGTCAAAAGAGCTAGCGGGATAAGGTTAGAGAGGTGAGGAGGAAGAGGAGCTGGAACTGGAACCCATGGCGAAGTTTGGTTTTGTTTTTAAGGGCTGTCATGTGTGAACTTCGGCTAAGTGGTCCTCCGCCTACTATAATATGCCTATACCCCGCCCTACAAAAACCAACTTGCAAACCAACTGTACCTATAATAATACTTACTCCTCAGAAGAAGTAGCCTATGCAGTAGAGCTTTTTTTCTTATGGTACGTATATGTTCCGGAGAGAAGAGAAGAGAGCGTCAGATCTCTCTCTCTCTCTCTCTATATGTGTGTATATATCATGTGTATATATATATATCTCTCTCCCTCTCTCTCTCTCTCTCTTGTAGGCTGTTGTACCGCTGTAGCCTAGCCTGGGATATTGTAGAATCATTTGCTACGTACCACATTAATTACTCCTATCTGATCATCATCATAATTAAACAAAGCACCACCCCCTTCTCCTAATTCTACTTTAATCCCACTCCCACCCATGTGTGCGGTTTACCATACAGCCTCGTCAAACTTAAACCTCGTCTATGATGGCCACCCAAAAAAAATAAATAAAATACATAACCTGTATGTCTGTATGTACATACACACAGAGACGCGCTAGCACACTCGATCCCCCGATTGCGACCAACCGAGCAGCTGCTACTCTATCGCACACTTCTAATGATCAAAAACATTTTATTTTTCCCATTATTTTTCCATTTCTACACGTGTAGCAGAGAACTTACGGCTGTCGGCCGGTCAGTCAGCTACTATCATATATGTGTGTGTATATATGTAAGATATGCCGGGCAGAGGTGGTGGGCTGGGCAGTGATGGGAGGGTTTAGTTTTTCATGAATGAGATGTTTTTCCAATTTTTGGTAGCACAAAATGGTAGTCCATAATTAGAATATGTAGTTGTAGCAGTAGTAGTAGTTCAACAGAGGCAAGCTAAGTGAGGCCGCGCATGGATAGGAGGCGGCAAAAGAAGGAAGGGGAAGGGGAAGGGTACAACTCATATCTGTTGGTTTTTTTCCATTTTTTCCCCTCGTATGCAGCTCCAAATTAAATTGGATATATAGCTGTTTTAAAACAGAATTAATGGTCATAATTAATATCAGTCTCGCGTATCAACTGTACGTCGTAATTAATAGAAGAACAAGTGGGATGGCTATGGGTATAAGCTGCAGCTTAGGGATGCGAAGAAGAGCTTCCTTCAACTCGATTCAAATTACGCAATAATTAATAGTATAATGCAATCGGCCTTGTGTGTCATGTCAAATTAAGAGTCAGAGATTAGTGGATCGAGTAGTATTTTGATAAAATTCCTTTTGCTAATTGAAGGTTGTTGATTAGTTCAAATCAGGCAAACGTCGTCACTCTGATCAGGATTAATGACGCAAACCACCACCTTCCCCCCACGTCTACTTACCTCGCACTAGTAGTACTACTACTGCTGTAGTGTAGTGACTCTATTAATTACTACCAACAAATTGCAATTATTATTTTTGTACTCAAGTAACTATTTAATGTTAATGTCGGCTGTGGAGTAGCTAACCAGGATTTCCTTTCGTCACAGTAGTTATCCGATCATCATCCTCCTCCTCCTCCTCCTCCTCCTCCTCATTGGACATATTGGGTAATAATAATATACAGCAAATGGACAGCAGCAGCTCTATGGGGAAATATTGGCGACAATGCAAATGCTAATTGCTTTTTGTGAGGAATTTGAGAGCAAAGCTATGCATGTGAAGGCAGAACATGGGCTGCCTAGCTTAGCTTAGCTTAGCTATCCAATTAATTTGAATTTCAGCCTCAGGGAATAACGTCGACGTCATTTCTCCCCTCTTCTCAGCCCTTAGCTTGTACGAGTTCCGTACTCTTTGATGATTGATTTACAATTCTCACAAATTAACCCAGTAAGTATACACTTCACTTCACTTGAGCAGGTAATTAAGATTGAGCGGATGGATGTCATCCCTCACAATCCTCAAAAACTACGTACCTAGGACTAGGAGACTTCTTCACCCCATAATCATCCATCCATCCTTTGTGTGCCTACTCTAGATACTGGCATTCATTCTGGCAAAAGCCATCCTCGGTAACATGATTCGCAAATCCCATACAGCAGATACAGGTGCAGATTATTACTTTTATTTCATATATAGCTCTGTAAACCAGAAGAAAATATTCTAATGCCGTGAACTCGGAAAAATAAACAGATTAAATCTTGGCCAGATTCAGATAGCTGCTGCCTTTTCCCTAACTCGCATCTGCGTCTCGCCTCCTAGTTAGATGTGATTCATTCTACTACCCAGGACAAGTACACAAATGTTTGCAATGACGATAAATTTCTCAATCAATTATTCTAAAGGCACGTTTCCAAATATTGCATTTATTAGCCACATACTATTGTACGTACCGCGCGGTAATTAATGAGACATGCACATAAATAAACAAAAAAATGTTTAATACTAATAGATGTCCACTACTAAGTGTGTGTATATATATATATACGTGTGTGTATGTATATATATATATATATATATATATATATATATATATATATATATATATATATATATATATATATATATATATATAGCTTGGTTGAGTGAGAATTGGAAAACACATTAGTGACTTGCAGCCTCAATTAATTAATTTGGCCAAGAAACGGGACATCAAAGTTGCTTGAGGAGGTTTAATACATAGTATGATGGTTGACATAACTTAAATTATTCCATAAGTGACGAATCTGACTCAGTTCGATTTTCTAAGAGCTTGTTTACGTTTGGTTTTTTCAAGTAATCAAGTCAGACTGCATCAATACAATTTCACATTCATTAAACTTTCAAATTTGTAATTCAATTGACATTAAATTTAAAGTTTAGATATAATACATTCAAACTACTTGAACTCAACATCATAAAAGCTTATTTTAGTTTTTTTTTAATAATTAAACAATTTCAAATTCAGTAAAAAATAGACAAAATTACAACTTGATTAGGCTGATTTAAACTCCTACTATGCTATACAGTAACGGGCAAGAGTTTAATTAATGACCCTGATATAAATTTGTGGTGGACGTTTGCTTTGGGGGGTGGGCTGACCTAAAGTTGCATATGATATTAAAGTCAAAAGCCAAAAGTGGGATATTCCCACATGTGGATCTTGTAAAAGGTGTCCCTATCTACACAACCTGGGGCGGGGTAGGTAAGCTTCATCAAGGGATTGGGTGGATATATATCCCGAAGGCTGCGTTCTCCACTAGCAGCTATCCTACGAATGATGTGCTCCAAAGCTGTCCAATTCCTCCATCATGTTTCCATTCCGGCCTGAGAAAATGATTGGACACTTGGGCTCGAAATTCATAAATGATAAATCACATTTCTATAAATAATGGCTTTTTTTTTTAAATTTATTTATTTACAATTTTACATATGTGTGCAGAAGCAGAAGCAGAGGCATGAGGGTACCTCCTTAAAATTAATGCAGCCGAAACATTAATCTGACTTTGGATGTTATAAACTTATTACCGATTGAGATTTTTAAAAGATGCCCGAAAGTATCTAAAATATAAGGATAAAATGGATAAGTGTTATTTGTAATTTTCACAATTACGGCATCTCATCTCATTTGTAATATTTCTATCTTCTTTTTGTATTCATATCGAGAATTTTACCGCATCCAGCCTATGTGGAATTTTACCTGTCAATTTCTCTTCTCTGGGAATGAATAGATAAACTCTTTCTATATGTAAACTGGTTAATGGTTACGTGGACAAGTGTGTGTACGATTACGGACATTGATAGTTTCCTAAGCTTAACTTTTTTTTTTTTTTTTTGAAATTGAATAATATCACTTAACCTA